TCTCATTCTCTCTCTCTCTCAAATAAATAAATAAAAATCTTTAAAAAAAAAAAAAAAAGTAATTACATGACCTATATTCAAACAATAGAAAAGTATAATTTTTCTAAGTTGTAGCCCCCTAAACTTCTGGGAATGGTGGGCATGTTCTATATCTTATTGTGGGTGGTAGTTACATGGGTATATGTAATTGTCAACACTCATCAAACTGAACCTCTAAAATCCGGGTTTGTTATTGTATGTAACATACCTTAGCATAAATATATATATAGTTTTGTGTGATCCCAGCTCAGCCCCAGGGATTCTTGTTCATAGTTTGATACCTCTATTTATTCAGACCTTTTTTTATGTATAGTCTCACATTTATGTAGATATAGGTATATTTTTTTTAGCAAAAAAAAAAATAGGATTATACTCTACATACTGTTCTAAAGTTACTTTTTTCATATGACAGTATATCTAAGCCTTTTTCATGTCAGTATATATAGATCTCATTTTTTATGGCAGTTTCATGTTCCATTTAGTAGCCATGCTGTACTTTATTTTAATCAGTTCCTTATTATTGTACATTTGGATTGTTTCTGGTTTTTTACTCTTACAATGTTGCTGTATATTTGGACATAGTTATACTTGTGATACCTGAAATTAAAACATCTTTATTTCAATAATGTTAGCAATTCTAAGTTCCCAATCCCATTTTCACCATCTCTTTTTGCTCCATAGATCTTCAGATCCCTACCTGTTGGCTATAACATCTCTAAACAAGTTCTCGATCAGTATCTGACTCTACTGGCAGATGATCCAGTAAGTCTGTTTTTTCTTTTTTGTTTTTTCTTTCTCTTTTCTTCTGCTGTGTTTACGATTTATTTCTACCACTGAAACCTGGTATCCTTCTTCTGTAGCCTCATTTTCTACTTAGCCAGCTCAGACAGTTTCTCTACCATCATCTGATAGGAGGGCTACCTGCTGCAGACTCTTGGCCAGATTTGCTCCTTTGGAAATGGAATCACTGGACTTCCCATTCAGTTAACACACTCTCTCTGTCTCTCTGTTTTTTTTAATAGCTAGAGTTTGTTGGAAAGTCTGGCGACAGTGGTGGAGGAATGTATGTCATCAGTATCCTTAGCAGTTATTTCCTTACAGTCAGGCAGCCTGAACTATGAAGAAGAATGGTGACTTAAGAAAAAAAATTGGATAATATTTAGTAGACTAAATAAGTCAGAAAATTGAACTAATACATTGATGATAAAAAAGTAAAAAGGACTTTTAATTAACCGAATTTTAGTTAAGCAAAACTCTGACTTAAATCCTAGTAAATTGAGTTATTGAAATACTTACAAACCATAAGTGAGACCAATGTGAAAAACAAAACAGCATTTCAATTTTGAATTAGAGACTTAGGATTAAAACTAAGATCACAGTGACCAGGCCAAAACATTACTGACCTTAATGCTCTACACGAAGACCTGCATAAAGCTCTAGGATCCCTAGCCACAGCCACTCTGGAGTCTGTCGTACAGGAGAGGTAAGAGGGTCAAGGGTCACTCTGCTCAGGGTTGGGGTCCACACTTTATTTGAATAAGCAATTTGATCATTATGTAAGCACCCAGTGTACCTACATCTTGGTGCATCTTGCCCATTTTTCCACTGGACTGCTACAGATCCCATCCACTACTGCTCTTCACCCTAAATACCCTAACGCTTAATTCCCAAAGATGCCAATTAACCAGGCTTCCTAAAGCCTTTACTTACAAATGCAGGAACTCAGGTACTCAGGTGAGTCAGTGGGCGGTGACTCCTTTATGATTAGCAGTACCATCATCAATCTGTGGAGTTGTGAAAGAAATCCCTGACCACTGTTCCTCTCTCTGGTCCTTCCTCCTTATATGGAAACAGCAACCGCCATTTGTGACTAGGAGCTAAAACTAATCTATGTTATGCCATTTGTTCTCTTTACTCCTTTCCAGGTTTGGGTCTCGCTGTGCCAGAATATTCCGTCTAGTTTTGCAAAAGAAACACCTGGAACAGAAGCAGGTAGAAGACTTTGCAATGATTCCAGCAAAGGAGGCAAAGGATATGCTTTACAAGATGCTCTCAGGAAATTTCATATCACTCCAGGTAACCAGTGGCATAACAGTCACCAAGCAGTGGAACTGGCCGAGAGTGAAAGAAACTTCCGAGGCAAACATCCTGAACCCCAAGCAAACTCTCTCTCCAGCTCTGAGACAGAAAAAAAAAGATTAACAGAGACATAGCAAGCACTTGAAAGAGAACTGGGAAGCTTTAAATGGCCTAGTTAAAAAGAGGCACAGCCAAGAAATCACCCCAGAATTGCCCTTTTTCCGTAGCTCCTAGTCCTTGTGATTTGTCCTTTCCTCAGGCCTTAAGTCTATTATAGATTAAATCTGCCAACAGTATCTATTGGGTCCTCACTGTGTGCACAGCCATGTGGTATGCCCTATGAGGAAACAGACAGAATGGATTAGGACATCAGAATCACAGTTCTGCCTCTGACCCAGTTACACTGAGCAAATTACCTACTATCATTTTTCTCATCAATAAAATGGTGATGGATGGTGGTAATAAAAATAATATGGTTTGCCCTAAAGATCAAATACAATCTACGTGGCATATAAGCGTTGCTCAGAAAATGTTAATTGCCTTCTCTTTCTTCCCCACTGAAGATGCCTACAGTCAAATAGAAAAAGCTCTCCATGTGGCTGATTTTGCTGTAAACACAGATACTGAATGACTGGGGAAGAGGAAAATATTAAATGAGAGAGCTGAGTCGTTCTGGATGGGACAGGTGTTTACTTGGCATTTCTGAAGAACAGTATGATTTCTTTTCTCTTTCTTTCTATGGACAAATAGGAAATTCCCAAAACGCCAGACCATGCCCCATCCAGGACCTTCTATTTATATACTGTGAACATCCTGTCAGCTGCCCGAATGTTGCTGCACAGGTGCTACAAGGTAATTTCTCTGGACCTTCTCCCCACTCCGTCCACACAGACACATCTCACCCTCATGCCCCCTTTAGCCATTTTACTTGAGCTACTTAAATAGAACCATGTGCATTTCTTGTCTTCTCTCCCCTCAGAGCATAGCCAACTTGATAGAAAGGAGACAGTTTGAAACCAAAGAGAACAAGTGAGTAGCATTTTCAGTTGAGTAATTACATTTTTCAAGGTCAAAGTCTTGAAGGGCAATTTCCTGTAGAAATAACCAATAGAGACAATAACTTGTCTAGTTGCATTGAATTATTGGCTTAGGTTGGCCTAAATCGTACATTAGTCTAAACTGTTCTGATATACCCCCAGTGAAATAATTTTGCAGATTAAATTTATCAGAAATGTACAAACTGGCATTAAACTTTACGTGCAGATGAGAGGCAGTGAGAGCTTCAGGGGTGAAGTCATATTTCTAGTTAAACTTGTAAAAACTGTCTTTGGAAGGTGGCAATATCCACTTTGACCAGGAACATGGGAGAAGAGGGAGTTATGCCGTAGGGCTAACGGGTGAAAGAATCACCAAGGCTAGGGGACATGCCTCAGAGTTGTGTTTGCCTGACAGGCGTCTACTAGAAAAGTCTCAGAGGGTGGAAGCCATCATTGCATCTATGCAGGCTACAGGTGCAGAGGAGGTACAGCTCCAAGAAATAGAGGAGATGATCACAGCCCCCGAACGCCAGCAGCTAGAAACCCTGAAGCGCAATGTCAACAAGTAAGCATCATAAATCTCAAACCTATGTTTCAAAATACCTTCCAGACAAGTCCACCTCAATACCCTGCTACCCCTCCAGCCTCACCCAAGCAAACCTAAACTCACTCTCTTCTTCCCCAGCTCAATTGGCAGAACTTAATCCACCTGTTTTCCTAAGCTTAAAAACTCTGAAAGCATTTCAGCTTCTACTGCCTTACTACACACTCTTGTTCACCAAGTCTGTTGATTTAACTTCAGTAATGTGTCTCAAATCGGGCCTTTCATCTTGGTCCTCATGCAGGCCTTCATCACTTCGTTCCTAGACCTTTGCAGTCATCTCCCCCTTCATACCATCTCTTACAATGCTCTCGATGCCATCCTCCATGGCCTCTAATCTCAAATAATGAATGTTCTGTCTGGGCAAATGCTTTCACTTTTTCTTTCTTTTTTTTTTTTTTTCAAAGATTTTATTTATTTGAGAGAGAGA